TAGTTGAGCAGTTAAGAACATCAGCAGAATCAAGTGGTTGAGCAGTTAAGAACATCAGCAGAATCAAGTGGTTGAGCAGTTAAGAACATCAGCAGAATCAAGTGGTTGAGCAGTTAAGAACATCGGCAGAATCAAGTGGTTGAGCAGTTAAGAACATCGGTAGAATCAAGTGATTGAGCAGTTAAGAACATCAGTGGAGTCAAGTGGTTGAGTAGTTAAGAACATCAGTGGAGTCAAGTGGTTGAGCAGTTAAGAACATCAGTAGAATCAAGTGGTTGAGCAGTTAAGAACATCAGTGGAGTCAAGTGGTTGAGCAGTTAAGAACATCAGTGGAGTCAAGTGGTTGATCAGTTAAGAACATCAGTGGAGTCAAGTGGTTGATCAGTTAAGAACATTAGCAGAATCAAGTGGTTGAGCAATTAAGAACATCGGTAGAATCAAGTGATTGAGCAGTTAAGAACATCAGTGGAGTCAAGTGGTTGAGCAGTTAAGAACATCAGTAGAATCAAGTGATTGAGCAGTTAAGAACATCAGTGGAGTCAAGTGGTTGAGCAGTTAAGAACATCGGTAGAATCAAGTGATTTTTGATAATGTAAGCATATCTTTACAAAATTTTGCAGGTTATTGGTATACATTACAAGGTTTTTGTACACAAAATATCAGGTTTTAAATAAAGTAATAAGATTTTTTGATTAAAATTTTCTTGTAAAATTTTTTCTTTCAGAATGTTAACTATCCAACATGCAAAATAATTTTGATTTTAAGATTAAAAATACTTTTGTGCATTAGAACGTTTTCAAATTTCACATGTGGAATCTTTATAAACTCCAGATAATTATAAAATTTTTTTCATCTGTTATTTTCACTACTGTATCTCTGTGTTGGTTGGTTTGATTTGACCAACTTCGTAATCTCAATAAAAAATTAGGAAATAAATATAAATTATTCTTTTGTCACTCTAGAATGACTACAAATTATAACACGAAAACACAAATGTCTGGTCTAAATAGCTTAAATGTCATAACATTATACATTGATATATGTTTATTATTTTTATTATATTGACCTTTTAACCGTGTCTAGTTAACATTATTGAAGTTGGAATGGCACAGTGCACATGCACTGACATTACTGTATCCAAGAATATAAAGTTGGCTTTTATAAAGTGACCTGTCTTGACCATTTTAGTAGACTAGTATTTTGTAAAATACAGTCACATTTCAGTTTTAATACATTATATATGTATGTACATTATTGCTATTTACACCTAAGTTCTTAAACTTATTTTTCTTAAAATATTGAACAGTAAATATGAAAGTATAGCAAACAATTATATCTTCTAGTTACAACCTTTGTACTCATTTACTGCTTGCTGTAGGTTGCTAAGCCTTATAAA